CAGTCGTCCCATCGTATATTCTGAGATATGGGGGAATCTTGAAGGTCTTCTATATGGTGTGTGGAGCCGCTTCCGCACTATATGGTTGTTCTATGAACCTACTGTCGTCCCTTTTTGGCAGCAAGTAGGGGGCGCTAGGTATTTTGTCTACTCATTCCTGGTGCTCTTTCATTTGGTCTCTGAGCGCCTTGTTTTCATTTTCCATTTCTTCCATTCTTTTCAGCACAGCAGTGAGGACGTTATCACCTGCATATCAGTAATATTATGAGTTTTACCTGAAGTCGGAGGGTCTGGTTGGTCGTCCTGTTCATCCCCTCGTTGTGTTGCATGGACTCTCGTGGTTTCTGTGGTCGTGCATGGAGCTTATTTACTGAGCACGCTGACTATGGTGTCAGTTAGCCACGCTTCGAAGAGCTTTTTCATAGCAGGTGGCATCCCCTCTCCTACAGACGTGGAGGCTCCTTTCTCATTTGGTTTTGTTATGCTACATAAAGGGGGAGGAGACCTCTCCCGCCTGGGGGAGGTAGTGGGCGTCACTTCCTCGCCCTGGGTGTCATAGCCTTCGTTGATAGCAGTCATGAGGTTGAGGGGAACGTTATCTGTTACCCTCATTCTGTTTCCTTAGTTACCTGCCATGGAAATTTTCGTACGCACAGAGAGGATAGATAAACCTTGTGGTCTGTCAGATTAACAAGTCACGTGAGTTGTAGATCTAGTGAAAACTAAAAAATTGACTGAGAAAATCCCCACGGACGGCGCCAAACTGTTTGACCCAAAAGATCTAGGTTTAAACAATTAAATTTTCTAATATAATAGAGTTAATCTTAGCCAATATTAATATTCAAAAGATTATTTAACTGATTTTGTAGCAAAATATCATGAGTGTCGTTCAAATAACAATAAATATGCAACGGTAAACAATATTCAATGGATCAAGAACAAAGAGAATAGCATTAAATAGTAATAAATAATATATAATGATATTTATGTAAATAAATGCAAGTGAGTCAACCGAAAAAGGATGAGATTCTTTGATATTCCTCCTGACAATGATAAATGATTGATGAGCTCTTGAATATTCGAATTCTCCTTAGATCGTGGGAGAAAAGTTAGATGCAGATCTAACGAAAAAGGTATATTTGGTATCTATGCAATAAAGCAAGAATCCTCAGAGAATGTCAACGTATTCTTTTTTACAATGAATGTCCAATGCCCCCTATAGCCACATATCTTTTTATAGAGGCACATGGGCCAAAACACCCCTAATAGTACAGATGGGAGGAATATCCCGTAGAATATTCTCTATAATGTCTTATCTCTAAAACTAGCCGCTAATGCCCTTCTAAAGGGAGTGCTCGTTCTCGTCCCTCTGCTGAGTCAGATCAACCTCGTTTTCGTCCTTCGTCAGATCACTTCGACCTCATCTTCGTCCTTTGTTGAAAACACATTGATGACATGTGGCAGCCTTCGAAGGGTCCCTTAATGTTGACTTGGCCCCCACATAACTAGGATAATTTTTAGTCCATACTCTAAGAACTGTCTATTTGTAAATTTTATCCAACATACAATGCCTAAGCTCCACTAAACAAAAGGAGAAGTTACATAATATACCCATTTGTAAAACTCACTTTTATGGTATACCTAATCTTTGAAATTATATCAAATATCTCAAAACTATTACACGTTATACCTCCATATTCCAAAACATATCACAAAATTTTACTTTGGAATACAATTGATAAGTAGGGATTTTGACCGCTTATTTGCTCTCTTTTACTTACATTTTAGCCCAAAAATATTTAAAGGTATTCCCGAGAACTAATAAAATGTACTTTCTTGCAGGAATATTGAGAAACGAGCCAAAGAAGTGAAAATCAACTAAAAAAGGAGTAAAACTGGACAAGAACCAAAATAAGGCAAAAAGGGCTATAGTGTGGACCGCACAATACTGTGTGCGGCCGCAAACTCTGAAGATGCACTGATAAAATTTCTTCACAGTGTGCGGACGACATAATTATTGTACGGCCGCAGAAGACTAGATTCAGAGACTTATAGTCTGGGAGCTTAAAGATGTGCGGACCGCACTATTATTGTGCGGCCGTAGGATGCCAAAATGCGCCCGCACTCATAAATGTGCGGTCCGCAAAATGAAGCCCAGATCCAGTCCAAGAGCAAGAGTGTGGCCACACTCAGAAATATGTGGTCTGCACAATTAGAGGAAGTGCGGCCGCATCTAACTTTTATGTGACCGCAAAAAGCCAACCTGACCAGTCAATCTCAAAGTGCGGACCGCACACATAATTGTGCTGCCGCATCTCACTTTTATGCGACCGCAGAAAGCAACCTAACCAGTCAATCTCAAAGTGCGAACCGCACACATAATTGTGCGGCCGCACAACCTTCGCATGGGCAATTTTATCAGATATTTTCAACTGGGTATAAATAGATCTTTTTGTCATTTTTAGGTCAAGTTTGGTGCACCTGAACACTTAGAGCCATTTTTATTTTACTGTATTGGGTAACTTTGTACTAGTTTAGCATTTAAACATTAGATTTTATTTCCTTAATCAATTATTATGCATTTTATCTTAGTTTATTCTTTAATTTTTTTATTTTCCATGAGTATCTAAACCCTTAGCTAGGGTTGTGACCCAATCCTAGTATGGGTACTTAATGAATGATTGATTTAGGGCTTATTTATAATTGGGTATATGATATTTAGCCTAGTTCTTGCTTGAATTTGAGAATTGATGGTTGCAAATGTTGATTCATGCCTAATTGACTTAGTCTTTACTTAAGAAAGTGAGACTAAGTCTAGGAAAACTTGGCTAACAAGAATTTGGGGTGAACTCAAGAAATTGATATCCCTAATTAAAGGGTCGAATCTAGAGATAGTAAGACCCGATTTGAGCATTTATCACTTGTTTCGTGAGATACCTATTTGGACTTGAGAAAGCCAAATTGGGCAAAATCACTCAAACTACCGAGAGGTATAGAGTGAGTAATTGCGTGTGATTACTATATTGTATACCGATCAACCAAACATGCCCTAAAGCTCTAAATCCGTTAGGTAACCAACTAGGCGGAAGTCGCAACCCTAGATCTTTTATAACTTGAAAAATAACCAAAACCAAAAACATTATCTCTTAGCTTTACAATTACATGCATTAGCATAAAAGTAGAAGTAGAAACCACAATTGCAAATGTGAAAGTGTAATCTTAGGCATGTCGTACATTCACTCTAGGTATATAACTAATCCCACATTAAGCTCCCTGTGGAATAGACCCCGACTCGCGTTGGATTTTTATTATTGCATCGACCGCCTCGCAACCTAAATTAATGGTGTGAGTTTGGGCGACATCAACAATCCAAACCTAACTTACCATAATATTCTCATTTGGAATACAATATTTTAACTAAACAAATCATAATATTTTAATTTGGAATACAATATTCAAACAAAACATACTGCAATATTCTAATTTGAAAAATCCAGACTTAGCTTATCACAATATTCTAATGAAGAGTACAATATCCAAACTATTCATAATATTCTAATTTGGACTATAATATTCAAATAATATATACCATAATATTCTAATTTGAAAAATCCGAACCTAGCTTACCATAATTAATATTCTAATAAAGAGTACAATATCTTAACCAAACATACCATATTTTTGTAATGAAGAATAAAATATTTAAATAAAATATACTATAATATTCTAATTTTTAATATATTATTCAAATTAAACACCCATAATATTTTAATTTAGAATGCAATATCCAAGTGGAACATACCATAATATTCTATTTTGTAATAAAGTATTCTAACCAAAAATACCACAATATTCTAATTTTGGAATACAATATTCTAACAAAACATATTACAGTATTCTAATTTGGAATATTGAAACCAAATATACTATAATATTTTAATTTAGAATACAGTATCCAAACCAAATATACGATAATTTTTTAATTTAGAATATAATATTCAAACTAAACATGCTACAGTATTCTAATTTGGAATACAATATCATAATATTCTAATTTAAAATATACAGTATTATATTTAGAATACAATAGGTATATATGATAAAATAAATTTATAAAGTAAATATACAAAGTAAAATAAATATTTTAATTATATATGGTGTTAACTGATATTTTCAATGGGCATACCGCGTAGATTATCCTAACAAGAATGTTGGCCCAGTTTACACATGTAGTCTACTGTAACCGGGCTAGAAGGCGAAAGTTTTGGCCCAATAAAATCAACAAATGGGCCAGTCGGCGTTCTCGCTAATAGGGCTGATTATGCAAATGTCTATTGTTTAGATTTTGTTCCTCTTTAGAAAAGTTGTGCAAAATATAGCCTTAGGAAATTACCCTTCCGGACAACGTAACATTTGAGTCTACCGTTTGCTCATGCAATTTTTAGTTTGTTCACAAAATATTAGACTGAGGTCTAATGTTGCAATAACTTACAAAATTCTAGATCGTGGTTATACATTTTCTCATAAGATTTTTAATTTTTCATAAGAAACTTTAAATCGTGGATTATAGGCCCATCAGTTACAAGAGAAATAAAAGAGGGTCACTTACTAAACAGGTGATATAAACAAAGAACAACTGACGAAAACTTGTGTGCTAATAGTGACATTAAATTAAGAAATGAAAGTTCAGTATAATTTCGTCTAATACGAAGTTCATTGCTTGCGTCTGATTAAACCAATCACTTAATATATCAAGCAGTTAATCACTCCTTAATTTCAAACCAGTATAGATCGGGAGTATATAATTACTTTTTATTCATTTCGCTCTACTTTTGCATTCTAAAATTGGTCAACAATACTTTTCAATGCAGATTAACAATCTCTAAGTTAGAGACTAGTTTCAATACAACAATGCGTATACGCAATAATTTTGACCGCAATAGTTTGCTCGGTAGAACTCTTTGGAGTTTCACTGCAAATAAACGAATATAAAGACGAAATTACTATCTAACAATGAACTTCGTATTAGCTGGCATTTCAAAAACTAGTGTAGCCAACAACCATAAAATACAAAGGTATCTGATTACAACACAAGTAACCAAGTAATTATATTTTGCCGCAAATCTCTCCTAGTCAACCTCTCATGACCAGTAATAAAACAGAAGCCTAAAGGACTCATCAAATTAAGGATGTCGACCAACAGCTTTGCCACATAGAAGAGCATTAGTAGGTATGTCATATTCATTAGCTAGACTTTGGGTTGGGTTGTAGACCCTGAGGTACACCTGTTGTCCAAGATATTGCCTATCCCACATTGCTGACCTCAAATTCCACATTCCTTGGTTGTCCAATGATACCAATATAGCAGTCCAGGATTTTGGATAAACCTGCAAGAACCACTCCATGTTCATGATTAGGACTATATATTCAGATAAGAGTTAATTTCACATATAGTCACTGAACCATTATAACAACAGAACTTATCCATCAGGGTGACTTTACTGTGCGACTTTACTATTATACTAAGCAAAGTTCAATTACTTTAATGTGACAAAAGATAGTTATAGTGGGTAACAATCAATTACTTTAGAGAAATAGTTTGTGACTTTTCTATTATAGTGGATAGAAGTTAGTGATCATACTGAATTAACCCTTCACATTCATGGAACTGCTGCACTACAGTGGCTGAATTTGAAGTTTACCTGTGTAGTATGTCTAGTAGGAGCATCAACAAGATTGTACTTATTTCTACTTGCTTGTGTCCATGTGCGAGATCCAAAACTGCAGATTTTAGCAATAGGAAAGGATTAGAAAAGTCAGCCAATTATATCACTGGGAGCAATGGAAAACTTTGAAGCATTAAGACATACCCGACGACCCAGAAGTCATAGCCATCAAGATGCCAAGATTGCATAGTAGCCTCATTGTTTTGGAAAACGATTTCGATGAAATCATGGTGAGAAGCTGGAAACACAGCTGTAGCTAGGTAAGGAGAACCATCAGAGGGAAAAGTTTGAATGGAGTTCAAGCTGAAGACTCCGGGGATGTTGAAATGATCAGCAAGTTTTAGTGGAGTATCAGGATTAACATAAGAGACCCGATTCACAGCATATCTCAGCTTCCCATTGATAAGAGGTGCAGAGTTAGCCAGCACAAAAGTCCTTGATATTGTAATTTTACCATAGTGGAATGTACCCTGAGGATTTGGTCTAGCTGCATTTGCTGTCAGATTCCACCTTCAATTCAGAAAAATAGAGAATTAGGTCATTTGAGAACAATAAACAATCCTAGCTGTCAAGTGCCAACTATTCTTGAAATGCTTTATTTATCATATGTAATTTTTTTTCTCATGGTGTCCGGACCAGCTTGCGCACACCTCGACTAATTCGACTAGATACCTGCTACCTCCCACCATCAAGGTTTTACCATTTTGAGAACGATAAACAATCCTAATTGTAGAGTTTCAACTAGTCTTGTAATGTCTGAAGTGTCAAATGCAATAATGTGAATGTACATGGCAATTCTTGTGGATAAGAAGGTACCTGAATGTTCTGGCTTGCAACATAGACCAGTGCATTTGACCAGCGGGAGCAGATGGCATGGGTCCAGAAACAGACGCCTTAGAGTTAGAGTAGTGGAGAACTGCAGTAGCAGTAAGAACAGTCCTTGTGAACCTTGTGGAAGCGACAATGTAGTAGTCCTTTGGAGGCTGATCCAACGTAACAAGGACGGACATAGATTGACCAACATGGACATCAAGAGAATCATAGAGGCTCTGAATCACATGGGATCCTTCAACCTCGACGACTCTCATCTTGTGGCCCTGAATTCTGAAGTTAAAGGTATTTTTCAAACCTACATTAGAGATCCTGAACATGTATGTTTTTCCTGAAGATGGAAAAAAATTGTTGTTAATGAGTTGATCTTCAACAGGATTAAATGGCTAGGACACATTCGATGATTAATGACAATTCAGTATGACCTTGATCGCCAGTGAAGGTAGACTGCTTCTGTCCGTTTATAAGGAGGCCACTTGGAAAAGGAAGAGACTTCCCTGAGTCCAATATTTGCCGCAATACCTGCAAAAACCAAAGGTAAAGATATTGAGGGCATTTTCAGCACACAATTTGGACAGCTATATTATCTAATACAGTTTGAAAGAATGCAAGAAACAGGCAATAGAATTACCTTATGGCTGCTCTTGTACCAATCACCAATAAGTAAACTGAAATCTCCAGCAGGTTTAGCATATGGAACTGGGATTACTGATCTTGCATATATGTTTAGTGCTCCGAAACCTCCAACAGCTCTGTGCAATTGAGTTGAAGGGAAGTATGTATAGCTTCCAATTTGGTCTTTCATTTGGAACTTGTAAGTGTAATTTGAATTTGGAGGAATGGGACAATTAGTTCCCAAAACTCCATCTTGCCATGAGTTCTTCCTTTGTTTGATTCCGTTCCTAAACAGTAAATACATGTAAGGCTATAGGTCTAACACTTGTTCTCAACAATTCTATGACTACAAAAGCAACAGCAAAAT